TGCTTATTTGAGGTTTTCCTCAACCATATTTGATAATGATAACCGCTTCTTCCTAGTCTACATTTTTATATTCCTGTGCTATAATTATCTCAATGCTTGTCTTCCTTCTATACCTAAGACATGAGGCCTATCTATGTCTTCTTCACCTGTGCAGCTCAACTCCTAACACAGAGCCCCCCAAGTTAAGTAGTTAAGACCCTGGCCCTGAGGAACAGCCTCTAGAATGGGCCATTTACATGACGCTTTCCCAAACCAGCAAACACCTGCCCACCAGAGAACCCTCCCTTCACCCCTGCTTACTCTGTGGAACCCTCATTTCCTCACGCTGCTCCTTCTAGGCCTCACATACTCAGCCTCTTTTCACATGACTCTTGTAAAAGAGCTAAGTCTGATTTGTCTTAATATATTCAGGATACAAAGGAAAATGAAGCCTTATCCTCTGACTTAAACTGTTTACTATAGATCTATCTTGAGTATGAATTTAGCAAGAGCTTATTAAACTTTTGTTTTCCATTTTTCTTTTCTGAGTTTCGGCTTTTCCTTGGGCCTTATCCATCTCTCACATACCACGACCTTAAAGGTCATTCTGCTTGTCTCTAAAGTCTTCAAGGGGCCAGGGAGATGGCTGGGTAGAATAAGAGCTTGCCTGCCAAGCACAAGGGCCTGAGTTCAAGCCCTGGTTCTGCAAAATAAATAAAGTCTTCAGTCTCATACAAATCAAAAACTATGCATTCTCCACTTAGTACAGTGACAACAGTAGAGATTATTCTAAATAGTCCCTACTGACAAACAAAAAAACGCTCTAAAAAAACACAGTAACATAAAAAATGTGAGGTCATAAAGTTCCAATCTTTGGTCTTTGATTTTAATTTAGCAATCTCCTTTGTTCAATAAGTGATTAAAAACTTCTCCTCTAGTTCTGATCTCAAAGTACTTTCCTCATACTTCTATTCTGACATTTCTCATATTACACCGTGGCAGTCCTTTATGTCTCTTAAAAATCTCTCATCAAATATGCTAACCCCTTGAAGACAAACACTACTCCCTTCACAGTTTAGAAGCATCCAAACATTACCTGGCAACTATCCAGCATTAATGCCTGCTCCCATGGCCCAAGTCTGCCTAGAGCCTTCATTCCCTCTGCTGCATTTTAAACTGTAGTATATCTGTTCATTAATTCACTCACCCATTCACTGAACAAATATTCACTCTACAGTGTGCATCCAGTACAATCCAAGCTGGGAGTAGACAGAGGAGAAAAGAGACTTACTCCTTAGACTGAGCTCTTGTGGTCTAATGCAACACAACATAAGGTATGATTATATGCCATGTTCTCTGGGCTGTCTGGTATTCAGTTCTACAGTTTCATGGATTATCTCGGGACAGTAATTCGCAAATTTATGTTCAAGCCCAAGTCCTGTTAGGATTTTCTAATTAATACTAGAAATTTCACACATTCAACTGGCTATTCAACATTTTCAATTAAATGTTCTAATAGACCTCTTAACCTTAATGTGGCCAAAATAAAATTTGATATTCCCCACTAAACTTTCTCCTTTCCTAGTCTTACTCATTTTACAAAATGTCTAAACACAGTTGGTCCAACCATCCTTAATTCATCTTTCCTCTCCTCCTTCCCAATACACAACAATCAAATCCTACTGCCTTTAGCTGTAAAATATCACCAGTCCACCCCTCTTTTACAGCAGGGGCTCTATCATCTCTTATTTGCACTAGCCTTATTGCTATCCCTACTACTACTTCTGCTCCCTAATACCTATCCAATTTCCATATTTTAGTCAGACAACTTTCAAAAATACCACCTGATTATAATTAAAATCTACTGTATTTAAAATAAAACTCATTTCTTGGC